TCCATGACCTGCTCCTACTTCAAACAAATGCTGTGATGATGTGACTAGAACTCCACAAGAAAGCTATCTTAGAACTCAAAAAAGCTTGGGAAAAGGGAATAAGGATGACCAAAGTCACAGAAATACTACCATATTAAGAGTGACTAAGACGCAATTCTTCAGCCTCAAAACCTAGACAAGTTAGAAAGTGCCATGGGGATTACTGGATATAGAGTCAGTAATCATGCACTAACTATGGGTCATTAGTAGGACAAGGGAAGTATTTTTTCCCCTCCTTCTACCATTTGTGGGACCCCATATGGAATACTTTGTCCAGTTTTGGGCAACTCAATATAAGACACACACTGACATCCTGGAAGGAGTCCAAAAGGCCCCTGGAAGGTCAGTGGCACACAGCTCATGATGAAAAGGCAAGGCTGGGAGAGTTGGGCTCACTCACTCTGAAAGACAGAAGGTTAACAGGGACCTACTTGCTAGGTACCTCAGGTGTCCTTATAGAACAGATGGGGACAGAGCCCTTCCCTACAAAGTGCAGAACCAAATTAGAGGAAATGGGTGAAACAAGAAATTTTTAATACATAATAAGAAAATATTCTTCACAATGAATGTGGTCAAACATTGAACAGGCTGCCCAGAGTGCAGTGTAGAATCTCCAGTCCTCAGAGATGTTCAGAACTAATCTGGGCGTGGCATGGAACAACATGTCACAGCCAACTACCAAGGGTGCTTTGAGCATGTATATGGGGAGAAGGGTCAGACCAAATGTCTTACAGTCTTCCAAACTAATTTACTTTGTTATCCTGTGATGAAATAAAGCAAATGGAAAACAAGTTTAAAAAAAAAAAGGAGAAATGAGGGAAAATCACTCCATTTTGAGCTGGAATCCTCAATTGAATTCAACAGTTACTCTATGCTGGCATCAGCATTTTCAAACATATTTCAGAAGCATTAGGATGCTTTGATATTTCTAAGTTCCTTTGAAACAACCATTAAGAATGCTTTCTCCTTGGTTTTCATCCATCATTTACACTGTAGTCTCTGGCACCAGACCTACAGTCCCTAACCTAATTCTGTGCATTACAGCTCACACATGCAACTGTACACTGGGTGCTAGTCCCAGTTTTTCTGGGACTCAAACTGCACACAAACCCTGGCAGGCAGAACATCAAAGCACAGGAAGATCAAAGCCAGACAACCTATTTACTACTATTTTTTCTGAAAAAGACATGTAAACTTTCAATGGCTGGGAATGAAGCATCCATTTCTTCTCTCACACTGATGTTTATACCAGCATGCTTTCAGTAAGCTCACTCATATAAACCCAGCCCAAGAACAATCAACAGTGAAAAAAAAGAGAGCTGGCATTCATCAACCCTTGAAGCAATTTTTTTAAATTTAATTCAATTACAAAACATATTCTGGAAGAACTTTTCACAAGTTTCTGTTCATATCCTTTATCGTATTGCTCAGGAAAGCAAAGACCAGTAATCTAGAACAGTTTAATCAAATTACAAGAGTTCCCATATCTGTAGTCTACCCTGCCCACTGAAACCCCACCTCATCCTCCCCTCCCAGATTCCACCCTCACTTTTCTGAGGAGATGGGGCATTCTTGAACTCCTGTGACTGAAGAGAGTGTGGCAGAGTAAAAAATGGGGTGGTGGTGGGGGAACACATGACATACAATCATCCTCAAATGTTTAAAAAAGTGGAATATTGGTAAGGGAGGATTGCCTCAAACCTGCCATGGTTGTAATCCTTCAGGCAATGAGATTATATTGCCATTCTCCCACTGTTGGTTAAACCCAAATTTTAACATTTTAACCCCATTGCACTTTCTGAATCTAACTATCCCATGGTCACTTTAAAAGCACATGAGGAACACCTGACTCCTTTCCAGGCTTACCTACTTACTGTTTGGAGTTAGACTTGGATGCTGGATCAGATAGCCCACATTACTGAAATAACTGAATGCTAGCAAGGGAAAGCAATTTGCCGCTGGCTAAGCTGGGGATGGTTTTTACAAGTTATGGGCAGTGTTCACTAGAACAGCAGCTTGGCATGGATAATAGAGCATCCTACAATGATCTGAAAAAAGAAAAGGGTAAGTATAGGAGAAACTCCCCCATTTGTGTCTATCTCCCCTACCTCTTTTTCCTTGCGAGAAGATTGTTTCTACTCCTGTGGACTGTTAAGATTCCCTGCTAAAATCCCCTCTGCTCCCATTCCCCAAAACAGGAAATCGGCAAACAACCACTGCTCATCCTAGGGAACCATCAGATGCCCAAATGGCACCAGGAGAAGTGCTCAGTAACTGTGAGCAGCTGCTGCCACACACAAGAAACAGTTGCCCGCTTCCCAGCACATGGAGGACACACTGTTTTGACTAAGTCTTTTTAGGACCAACTTTCATTCATCAGCACAAAACCAAAGCAAAAGAACAAAGTGTTTCTCCAGCTTTGCCATGACTTCTTCATAGAGCCTTTCTTTTCCATCTCTGTGTTTTAGGTTACTAGGGGAGCCTGTCTCTTTCCTTTTGCTCTCTCAGACCTTCATAGACAACACTTTATCACATTTTAGCTGGGCTTGTTATTCAGGCAGGTCTGCCTGGCTCCAGGTTCTTAGACGTAAGAGCACAGTAGTACTACAGATCAGCATAAAACTAAAATGTCCTTTAGAAAAAATGTTAATTGCTTATGTAAAACAACATTCTGTATATTTCCTCTCAGGTACAATTCATATGCTACAGAGATTGTGTGGAATCAGAGAAACTCCTTCCCAAGGTTATCTAGTGAAAACACGCAGGAGAACTGCAATCCACAGTCAACTTAATTTTCACAGTTACAGCTTAATTTTGTGATTTTGTCTTCTTTTACCTCAAAGAAAAAAAAAAAGATGTTGACCTTGAAGTGAGTATGACACCTTTTCCCGTTAAAAAGTCATTCTAACAAGAGGTGCTCAATTAAGCTAGAAACAGATGTCATCTCCTAATCCAAAATTCTGCTCTTGCAGTAAAAATTATTTAATTTTACCCAGTTTACGCTGTGAAACACCTTCACCAGTTCCAATTTTTGGCTCTTCCTACTCAGTAACAGATGCTTGAGTGATGTTTCTCACCAGGGACACTCCCCAGAATTCAGCTTCCCAATAATCACATTACCTATTATGCACATCATCAGCCTGAAGATAGAGTCATGCTTCCACCTGAAGCCTGGGGCTGGCCAGACAGGTAGTAGTGCAGATGATAGGATAGCATGGTAGAGATTTTCAAGGATGTTTCTTGGCTACTTAAGAGGAAGATGGAAGCCATCAAATTCCCATAGCCTTCTTTGTGGTCTTAGGAGAAGTTCCCAGCGCTGTGACAACAGCAGCTTACTTCCATTATTTTTTAGGATTTTGGGGACTGTTACCATAGAATCATGGAATCACAGAATTTTAAGGGGTTGGAAGGGACCTTAAAGATCATCTAGTCCCAACCACCTGGCCATGGGCAGAGATACCTCCCACTATACCAGGCTGCCCAAGGCCTTATCCAACCTGGCTTTGAACACTGCCAGGCTTGGGGCATCCACAACCTCCCTGGGCAGCCTGCTCCAGCGTCTCACCCCTCTCACAGTAAAGAATTTCTCCCTAAAATCTAATCTAAATTTCCCCTCTTTCAATTTGTACCGAATACTCCTTGTCCTACCCCTACAGTTCCTGACCACAACTCCCCCTCTGGCTTCCCCTTCAGATACTGGAAGGTTGCTAGGAGGTCTGAACGCAACTTTCTGTTCTCCAGGCTGAACAGCCCCAACTTTGTCAGCCTGTCTTCGTAGGGGAGGTGCTCCAGTCCTCTTATCAACTTCGTGGTCCTCCTCTGAACGTGCCCCAACTATTCCCTGGCTGTGGGATATACACGAGAAGGAGACGAAAGGCAAGTCTCGGCGGCAACATCTTCCGGTGGGCTTCACCCCACACCTTTTCCCAAATCAAGAAGGCAGCTGGTTGCCCAGCCTTCCCTGAGCAGGGAACCGGAATCCTCCACACTTACGCGGTCACTCCTGCAGCGAGAGCGCCTGCCAGGAGCTGCACACAC